TTTAGTATCCACACGTAGAGTCGAACTCATTACCTTTCAGTTCAAATAACAATGAGTTATCTATTGAGCTACTGAATGCAAATAATCACTAGCTTGTGCATTAGTTATGAATTTCACTCGTATGTGTTTATATTCTTGGGATGTCAATATTAAGTTCTGCTAGTGATCATTCCCTATCGCCATATGTATGTCCTAATTCGATTGCCTCAATACTACCGTTTAACCGGTGCATCCAAACAACGAATCACATATAGGACGAAAGGCACTTTCTGGATTTCACTACTAAAAAATATTCAGATTTCAGTTTTTTTTATTTTTAACAGTAATCACGCCAGTACTTATTTTCATCAAAAACTGGATTCCACTTTATTAAAAGTATTTATCGATTGACCCAATATAGTTCATGCAATTTTATACAAAATTTGACGATAAAATAACTTCGTAAGGTAAGCTAAACAGAAATCTTATACTGATTAACTAGGAAATTTTCATAGACTTCAGTACTCAACACATCCGCTGTTTTTAAACCACTTTATCAGAAGTAGAATTTTTATTTTTCCCATTTCAAATAACAATCTCATTTAAATAAGATATCAAAAAAATGGTGCTTAACAATTTTGGAAATAAAACAAACATAATAATATATGTTTAAACATTATATAAAGAGAGTAATATCAATCATTGTAATGAGGAAAATAAATGCCCACCCGTGCCGTTACATGGTGATGATGTCAATCGTACCGTTTAACCAAGTAATGAAAGCTTTGAAAGTATGAATCATTATGGTTTTGATATTAGATGATTGGAAGTGAATGTGTCCTGAATTAACGCCTCGAACTGTGAATCTAACTAACTTGAGTTCAAATCCATCAGGGAACATCAGTCCCCTCAAGATTTCAAGTATGTCACGGCTCCAAGTACCAGCTAATAAGAAACATAAGTCCAGGATTTCCTTCCAATCACTTCGAGCTACCTAAGATAATGGTATATTGTTACTTATTTGACCATCAGCCAAACCTAAATGTTACATCAGTTCATAAAATCACTGAATATGATTCTGAGTTATGTTAACAAATGGAAACTACTTAGTTGAATTCCTTTTGATAACCGTGATCATTGTTTGGGGACTTTAGATGATGTGACTCAGAATTGATCACAGTGGTCATGAGTTGTATTATTTTCTCATATACATATATATAATGTCTTTTCGAACCATATTTTTAATATTTAGTTTTGCCTAATACATACGCTACTGCATTATTTCGACTCCTTTGTTATTCGTCTGATCTGACCATCATGTGTATCATTTGTATATTTATATGTCTATGAAATATTGAACTTATATAATTAACTCCTTTAACGATACTCATTTCACTTACATTTTTGTTTTTCCATCTTTTCCCAATAAAATCTGTAGATGTGTCGATGAATATGTCTACTACTCCATTCGGTATCGGACAACTAATATATGGTCTTTGATTCAAATCTTATATATCGTAGCAACTAATCCCATCAAGCGTTTAATATTGTAATTGAAAATACACTTAACCATGGAATCATACTAACATCAGTCAATCTGATGATATCCGTTTATTTTCATTCCGACTATGAATGCTATTGCTTCAATCCTTTCAACAATATCATTTTAGAAGTGATCATATACAAAATGAATAATTCAGGGTAACTTTTATAACTGTCCTGGATGAAATATAAACATTATCGTGCTTAATATATTGGTTATCTTTAGAATTTCATTGATGGTTACTAAGATTAAGTGATTAAACTACAACTAGTTAAACTTCCACCTCAATCGAAACAAACGAATTTTTCAGCACACACAAGTTTATTTGTGTTTACAGACAAAATATTATTGATGGAAAGCTGTAATCAGTCTAATCCTAGGGTTATAACGATTTGTTTATATAACGCGGATTGTATAGTATTGTTTAAACAATATTATTCGAAGTTGTCATATGTATTTACTCCTACCTGACAGTGTTAAGTTGAAAATTAATATTTAGAGGACATAAGCAGTAATGGTTAAGTAATATCCTGGCTTCATCAAACTACCCATATCTTATGATTTCTTGTTCTTACTAAGGCCATGCTTACCTGACTTGCAACTACATTTTTTAGTATTTAAAATGGCTACTTAAATACATGGCAGTAGTTAAAATACAGCAGTAAATTTATAGACCTGTGTAAGAAGAACATTCAGATGAAATGTTGTCGTAAAATAACAATAATTCAGTTTGACTACCCAGCACTGTTTATTAATGACATACATAACATTGAGAAAATACTTAAGTTCACGAATCCATAGGATTTTAATACTTAACAAACATACGAAAATGAAAAACTAAACAGAGTTATGTCAATATAACATTAATTTCATTTAAATCATGAACCGATCGATGTTTGGACACCATTGAAAAAACTAAAGGCACTGAACGGACTTTTTCTCTCAATATTAGACTCCACAGCAGTGCGCATCTACGCATTAACATTGTTGGATGGCGGCTCAGTAATACAGAGGTTATGAGTTTATGCACGAGACCGAAGGTTTGGTTCTACCGTACATAGAGGTAGGCGTGCACTCTTGAGTCGCATACTACGAAGAAACGGCCGTTAAGTGCTTCCAGATATTTAATGCAATTCTAACTTAATCTGGTTCATGATTTCAATGAAATACAACAATCTCCAGAACCCTATATTGATAACACTTATTGCATAACTCAATGAATACAATTTATTTTGCATTACTGGTCGGAATTTTTCGGCAGTACTAGAGAACGTGGATAAAATAATAATAGCCAACAATTGATTTGGGTCATTTATGAAGGTTGCTAGTTATTACCACAAGTTGTAATCAACTTTAAAATCATTGAAATCTAGGCATCACTGGACGTTTCATTTTATGTTACGATAACTCGAAAATCTACATTTATGACAGCATCTATGACAAAGGATCTCCATGTTCTAAAAAATCGTAATGCCTTTAGGTCACTGAAAAAGAGTAGCTCATATTTCTAACTTCACTTGGTATGCGATACTGCGTGACTATTATTCAAAGCCTAATATTTACATATTAATCCCACTGAAGAGTAAATATTCCGCCGATGCCACATACTTCAGTCGTTTGTTTGTTACACGACTTTTAATCGTGTCTATTCTTGTGCTCACTATTTTGTATGTCAGTGTGTTATTTTGTTACTAAACCGTTTAAGTTAATAATTTTGTCGGTCACTTCACACCAATGTATACTATCAACTTATCGAAACTTTCGGGATAGGTCTTCTAGCTGAACGCTAGATTCGGTTCCTAATCTCTTCTAGTAACCCCCAGGCCAGATTTGCACAGAAACTTGAACACGAGAGAGAAGGTGCGAAATATGGAAGGTTCGTTTACGTACATATAGTCTAGGGTTTTATAGTATTCTGGATGACCCTGAGTTTCCGGAAAATTCTGGAACTCTACTAAACATAGATAATCATCCAATCGAAAACTCGACATGTGAGTTTTCACTTTCTAGATATTTCTGGCAAAATTTCTAGTGAATGCTGATTGGATAAGATACTTCTCAATGTTCTCACAGCCTTTTCGGCTTTTTTGAAGAGTTTTCTGGATCTCCTCAACACATTTTATGTATTAATTTAACAATCCGCAAAAGTATCTTCATTGTACATCATGATTAGTTCAATTCATAATAAAACCCTTCCCTAATATCGTTTTTAATGCAGAAATTATCAAAATATTACTGAACACAAGAGTCTAAGGTCATATGTTAGACTTTGCGTGTAGCGGTAAATATGCACTCCCGAAAAATTTCAAACTGGTACAATACTCCCCGTCAACATTTTCCTGACTGACTCAAGTACTTCAACTAATACTGTAGTGAACAAAACAAGAGCGGGGGACAATCAAATGTGTTTAAGCACAAAATTACAAACTATCTCACTAAATTCTGATAACCATACAATCAACAATTAATTTACAAAATAACAATCAATTGTATCAATCCTAACTGTTCATTCTTCTAATATCAGATCGTTTTCTCTGATTTCATTATTCATACATTTTTGTACCGATTACGCTTCATTCCTGTTCGTTCCTTATCGATCTTCTGACAAAATACATTATATGCCTGACCATCGTTATATACTACTTATATGGATATAAGTAGACCACACCACAATATCAATCAGTGATAAGAAAAAAAAATGAATTTAAACTGTACAATTATACTGAATTATATTCTTGCATTAATCTTTCTATCCTAAACCCATAACATATAAAACAATGAGAAAGAAATTATTCAATTCACTAATTTACTATACATATATATAATTATATATATTTATAACATTAATAAGCTTACATTATAAAAGTTAAAAAAATTTTAAAAATGTACACTACTAACAATAATCATAATAGTAGTATTATTAATAAATACTACAATACATAAGAAAAGTTTCTTTATAAAACCACCATAGTGATAAATAAATAATATCTAAACTAAATAATAAACTACAAAGTTGTCAAAACAAAACAAACAAAAAAAATTTTTTTGTTTTTAAAAATGAACAAAAACAAAAAAAATATTGAATCTTAAAAAAAAAACACTCTAATATTCCTAGAGAATCATTTATTGATTATTATTGATGAGAATGAATATGTATCTATTTAATAAGGCAACTTAATAACTCAATTGAAAAATAATAATAATAATAATAATAATAATAATAATAATAACTTCGTAGTTCCATTACAAAAAAAAAATAATTAATTAATCAATAAAATAGGTAGTTACCAAATATTGATCTAGAAAAATAACACAATAATTGTGTGTGTGTGTGTGTGTACATACATAAATAGACGAAAATATATTTGTCCATTTCTTTTGTTGTTTTTTTTAAGAAGAAAAATCAAATATATAATTTTATGTAAAGGCGCAATTTAAATAATTTAGTCAACTATATTTAATATAAATAATAAATTAATTATAATCTTGATTCATTTAATATTGTTTTATTAATACGTTGACGTTTATATGGATTAGGTAAATTAGGATGTGAATTAGTAAAATGTCTACCTAAATCCCAACTCCATTTATAACTAGTTGCACATACACAACATATAAATGGTCGTGAATTTGCATGTACCATAACATGTTTTTGTAATTCTGTTGGCCATTTAGCTGTATAATTACATTTTGGACATGGATAACATTTTATTTGATGATTATTGATTATTTGTTGATTAAATTGATTTATTGATTTAGAGATTGAATGATTGACATTTGAATCAATTGATGAAATATTATTATGATTTTTTTTACAAGTTGATGTTGTTGGAATAAAATTATTCTCATTCGTAATAGATGTTAAAGAATTATGTTGTAGTTCTTTTTCAGATATTAAAAGATCAAGTTGAGCCTTAAAAACACAAAATGTAAAAATTGATCAGTACTTTAAACGAGTTAATTAAATGCTAAGCACTGAAACTGGTGTATAACAGAAAAATAAACTTGCCCAAATTGAATTACATAGAATGGGTATGAACCAATGAATTAATTGACGAAACCTAGTTGCATTCATCACCAAGTTGTTGATTGATAAATTACAATCATTTATGAACATTTTATGATCGAAACACTAATTATAAACTATGGATCATAAAATTTTCCAACAGTAAGCATAATTTCCATTATTTCTCATTTCATCATTTTTTATTTGCCATTTTTCCTTATCAGAAGTTATGAGAGATTAGTTACTGAAAAATTTTCATTTTGATGCTGTAATAAAGGGAATTTAGTTAGCGATATATCTCACTAAGATTCCGAGTAAAAATGTTATTTGATGATTACTGCTCATCGAGTCATAAACAGAAAACTTTTTAAAGATCAACAGAAGGCAACCTTCGAATCAACCAAGTGGTCTATATCCCTTTCTATCTTATTCTGTGATTTCGTTCGTGAGCTAATATAAAAAAACTAGATATTCAGTAGACCTATCCAAAACTTTCCATTTATATGTTTAGCTACTGACAAATATATAAGTAGCTAAACATCTTTCACAAAAACACCAAAAGATGAGAAACAAAATAATAAGACTTCGCTCACTTGAAATAGTAATTTAGATGTTTTACTATTTGAATATTGTGCAAAATTGCATTCGGATTCTAGAAGACTTCCATGTATATGTGAATAATGCGTGTTAAGTTGATTCATTCCTTCAAACATTAATCCACATGCTGCACATATTGTTGTTCCACGCCAACCTACACGACGTCTTCTACAAATCGATCTAGTATTTGTACGACAGGTAATAACATCACTTTCTTTAACATCATTAACATCTTCACTGGTAGTTGGATTTTTCTGTATATTGTTATCATCAGGATGATTTTTTAACTTTCGATGAATTTTTCGTTGTGTATGTGTAATTTTATTACGTGAATAATATAAACGATTAATTTGTCTTGAATATTTTCTCCACTTCATTTTATCAGCCTCATTTATGAATGTTTCCCTTTCATTCTGTTGTTGTTTAAGATTTTCTCGTTCAATTTCTACTGGTTCTATATCATCTATAAGCTTATTACGCCATACAGGTGTCGATGTTAAAAATTCATTATCAAGATGAGATTGTTGAACTGTTGGTGAGGGTGTACGTATTATGGAATACATTGAACTACCTTGGATATTATTACTATCACTATGAATAGCGGTAGTAGTAGTAGTAGTCGTGCTGGTAATAGTAGAAGAGTTATAATCCAAATGATGATGTATATTATTATAATTCATCATAAGAAATTGGTTTAAACTCTCTGGGAATACTTTCAACTCTGTTGGTGTTATCTTATTAGTTGTAGTATATAAATTCATATTCATTTTGTTAGTTAAATCCGTAAGATAAAATGAATTATTATTATTATTATTATTATTATTATTATTACTATAAGAATAATTATCATTTATATTATTATCAGAGTTATTCATTCCAAAATAATCGATATTATTCCGGTCAGTATCATGGATACTATTAGTACATAGTATATTACTAATCATTTTCATTTTATTAGTATACTGTATTAAATCGAATTTAAATTGATCACGAATACATAAATTGATTGGTTCATTTTGTTCATTCATTATTGATAATTCTTTATTGAAATTTATTAAATTTGTTTCAATACTACTATTATCGTTAAAAGTAGTATTCTCATTTATTTGTATAGTAGTAGTAGTAGTAGTTGGTGTTATTGTTGATGATGTTAAATTTGAATTAAAACATAATTGACTATCAGTTGATTCAGATAATGTTGTACATTTTGATAAACTATTCATGATTGAATAATAATTTTGTAAACTATTATGATAAATTTGATTAAATGTTTCTTCAAATCTCTAGAAATTTAATAATAAAATTAAAAATACATTGTTAATATGAATTAGGTGCTTTGTTATAACTAGATTATAAATGGGGGGGGTAAGAGTAGACAAAGATAATAATAATAATAATAATAATAATAATAATAATAATAATAATAATAATAATAATAATAATGAAAATAATGTGAAAACAATCTGAAACCTAATCACTCTGGATAATAAGCTAATATTACTAGGGTAGGTTTAGGGTGAGACCAAACTGTTTTTTGAATATACAAAGGGGGGTTGAATTTTCGTACGGCTAATGTTTCAATATATCTTAGTATACGCTTTATTACACTTATATACGACATCACAAATATAATTTGTTATCAATTAAATATGATAATAATCAGTTGATGAAACAAAATTATGTAATATGAGGCTTGAACTTGTAACTTGAATGTTGAATATTGATTAAACGAAGCTTTTAACACATAGATTGGTTTCTTGTTGAGCTATTTCCCTTATAAATATATATCCTTTTTTAATTTACTTTATATAATTAAATGAGCTCGTTTGCAAGTACACGTCCATAGAATTATTTGAAGTAAGGTGGGTAAATTAAGGAACATTCAAGTATGTAAAACAGAGTTTAGGTATAGATTAAAGTAAAAAAAAATTGATTAGTGAGGCCATGAATTATATTAAATGAACGTGACTAAGACATATATTACATGTCTCCTACCGCTACCTATTCTGATGTGACTTGAGATTAGTTTGAAAGAAAATTTACAGTTGCCAAATTAAAACCTGGATTGAATTAACTGATTCTAATCATGTCGGTAGATGGAAAACATCATAATGGTGTCCATGATCTTTTGTAATTTATGTATGTATAAACTTGGTGAATCAGATCGAAATCAGTCATATCTTCCTCTAGATCTTAGATTGTTTGACAAACACTCTACAACTTGATTGCATTCTTTCTTCCAAAAACATATTCTTTATATTTAGTTCATTACTGTCGAACCAACGTAATATTAATTGTTGTGAAATTTATTTCTTCTAGTTTTCTTTCATTTTACTTATATGATACATGGTATAACTGTTGAATGATGAAAGTTTATAATACGTTTATACTTAATAAATTAGTTAAGAAATTAGGTAAAATATAAAAAGATTCATGAGATTCAATTATTGACTTGAATTATTGAATAATAGTGTGATACGAAAGAAAATTGACTGTATAAATATATATAGTCAACCCTGGAACACATTTGTTTGTGATTAATAATGAACAACCCTACTCGGGGTTTTCATGTAATCAGACTAACGTAATACTTTTTGCGTGATGATCACTGATACATCATGTATATCAGGACCAATTTATGTAGAATTAGTAACTCAATGATTGGAAGTCAAATTCTTTAACTAATAAGCTAATATTTCGAGGTTATTTCAATTGTCGTCTAACAAACATAATGCTACCCCTAAAAACAATACAAAATCATAGAGATTATAGAATATATAGATCATTACTAGTAGTGAAAACCAAGACCTGTACATTGTTTTATATAAGTCTTATCAGATATATATATCTACATCCCAGGTTGTTGTTGCTATTATTCACATTTTATAACATAAAATATATAGAGAGATTGTATAATTAAACCATTCGCTTATTGGTAAAACTCAAGTAAATTAACATATTTGATAATAGGTATGCAGATATATAAGCTACACTTGAAACTTAAACATATTATCCCGAAAGTTTAAATAAAAATTTAATTAAATTTTTTGACTTTAAATTAAGATCATATTGAGTAGCAGTAGTAGTGCTAGTCATGACATACTCTATTTATACAATAATTTGCATAATATTAATGAAATTTACAGATTTTCAATTTGCATAATAGTTTGTATTAATTTTCAGATTTGCAGTTCATACAAACTAGCACATACCTACATATATAGGTTTAAATACTTATGTAAATATTATAGTTGAAAGCGTGAGTCAATTGAAGCTAGACCACCATGAGAAATCTGGAAACACTGGACGGCCGTTTCGTCCTATTATGGGACTCCTCAGCAGTGCGCATCCACGAACCCGCTCTCGCGAGATTCGAACCCAGGACCTACTAGTCTCGAGCCAAAGCCATCCAGTGTTTCCAGGTTTTCCATGGTGGTCTAGCTTCAATTGACTCACGCTTTCAACTATAATAAATACTAAATCTCCACAAAACCCCTTCTGTAATTTATGTAAATGTATACAGTCTCTCAAAAAACCCATTATTGTTAACATTATTTTATACATATTTTCAAACTACTTAAATATTATTCAGTAGGCTTCAGTGTCTGCTAGGGATAAAAACATTATAGTTGAAATCATCAACCAATTGAAGCTAGACCACAATGGAGAATCTGGGAGCACTGGACAGTCATTTTGTCCTATTATGGGGCTCCTCAGCAGTTCGCATCCACTATCCCATCTCGCGAGATTCGAATCCAGGACCTACCAGTATCGCGCCAGAGCACTTGACCGATAGACCGCTGAACTCGCGGCACCCAACGGTGTTAATGTCTAACTTCAGCCAATCCACGAAATTGAGAAATCATCCACCATTTATCTTCAGTGAGTTGATATCTCACAACGCACCTGGTTGTACTCCACAGGTCACTGCTTCTCACTAGAACTCCATGGAATTTCTCTTGATTCCAGTCGCTAGTGAGCATATGATTATTGGTTGAAGTTAGACATTAACACCGTTGGATGCCGGCCAAAACGTGAATGGATTTTGAATACGTATATTTTGAACACTCATTGATATGGACAGGGAATCAGAGGGATGAAGTGAATAGAAGAGAGCGAAGCAAAAACGAAACGCATCGGAGATGGAGGGTAAGCCAACTCACTTTAACCAAGCGTTAATCAATATTTATGGTCAGATAAAAATAAGTCACAGACATGTGATGAATAGGATAAAAAGTGTACACACACCTACGCTCATATAATAAATATTCGGGGTTAGTAAGTGAATAATTAACAAGGTCAAAACTTGACTCAAGATGGATAGGTAAATTGGCTTGCCCAGAAGCTAGAATAAAATATATGGGCTTAACATATCAACCTACAGTACAAGATAAACCAAATTCATAATTTTAAACTTAATGGAAGAAAATATAGTAACAATGTTTGAACTCTGATATAATAGTGGTAGTCATTATATTTGAACCAAACTCCTTTGTATTATATCAATACTTAAATCAATATAGAATAGTTTATACATATAAACTTAACTGATATTATAAGATTCGTGATACCCAATCATGATCAAATCGAACGCGTAATTGAAGAAACTACCTAGTACAAACTATTAACATATTTTAATTTATTGCATATTTTGTTGAAATTCAGAATATCCTATTTTTACTATTTGGGACGCGTCAGCTAGATATACTTGTATCCCAGTGTTATGTTCATAATCAGACTCAAACACACTATCCTTTGGTACAAATCCAAATGCAGCGTCCAACATGCCTGTATATTAACCAATAATTTATATGATAGCAATAAATAAATAACCCTGTCGACTATATCCAGATAAAAACAATGGGTTTAACCTAGCATTTAGACAAACTACCTAATCCTTCATTTTTACTAAAAATTAATGGATATCTTCAAATGTTAAGAAAAAATCGTTGATGAAATTTAAATATCTTTTCGACCTCTCATTAAATGTTTAATTTTCTACTAAAAAATGGTACTTAGACAACATTTTTATGATTATCGCTATTGGGGGTTTATGGATATTGTTAAAATGCATAACTTATTTCACAGATTGATCTTAATTAAACAACTATGTGCTCATCAGTGATTAATTTTGAGGAATCTCTAATGAATAGCCGTAACCAGTGAAATACAACCACATCGAGTATGAGACAGTTAGCTGCTTGAGTATTATAGTTAATTTATTGAAATTACAAATAATAACAGTCAAATTTCTGCTTAGCGATATAAAAGTTGATCGCTCACCAAGAGATCTGAAATTTCCTGGGTCCGACAGCCAAGTGTACACTTCTTAGGAGCCCCATACTAGAAAGACACATCTACCGAGTGATTTTGGGTTTTAAATGGTTATTTAACTGAAGTAAGTCCTTTATGTAACCAACGAATTATGATTAATTAATTAATTAAAAAATATATTACTTCTTGAATTTTAATGTAATCGTCATATAGGTGTACAATATTCTTTTATATTCCCGCAGAAACTTCAACTTATTCATTAAGTTATTGTTCATAAATATTTACTGTCGATTAGATCTACTGTACACCAGATATAATACTTCACATGTTTTGAGGATACGAAGAAAGAGAGTGTGACTCGTTAAGAAGATCGTTTTATATTGAGTTGGAATATGTGTATTAAAATACAGATACACGCTCACCTGATGAGTCCCAAACAGGATGAAACATGATGTATAGTTTTCTTTTTTTTTTAATTTTTAAAATTTTTAAAATTTAAAATATGGATACATATTTACTAACATTACACCACTTGTTAATATAAATATAATATATACCGTAAGAATTTAACTAAGAAAGAAATTCTATGGTTACATTTTTGGTTTTATTCAAACATTTCCAAAACCACTATCAAACGACAGTAATAGTTCTCTAAAACTGATCTCATTTTTCCCAATAATATTTCTTCTATAATCAATAATTGATAAATAAGTCAATATGTAAACAGAGATGGATAGTGGCTAGCAGTGGAATCAAGGACGCGCGTTTCGTCCTATTTGGGACCCGTCAGCTGGATGTACCTGCATCTCAGAGTTGATGTTCACTCTGGGACTCGAACCCAGTACCCTCGCTTCAAACGCCATCGCGTTATGCAGGGTACTGGGTTCGAGTCCCAGAGTGAACATCAACTCTGAGATACAGGTACATCCAGCTGACGAGTCCCAAATAGGACGAAACGCGCGTCAAACTGGATTCCACTGCTAGCCACTATCCATCTCTGCTTACCATGCTTGGGAATTAAGGTATATCGAGGCAATACGCACAGTATGCACATATGCCAATTAGAGACTGACCAGTTGCAGTCCTAAACACATCGATGGGAAGAACCAAACAAACAATACTAAGTGAATTTAAGTCAATATGTGTTTGTGTGTGTGTGTGCATGTTTAAATGTACGCGCGTTTATATGTATATAATTATCAGAAAAAGTGAGCAATAATCAAACTTAGTAATTACATCATAATTACATAAATGTTACTTTAAATAGCAATGAAAACATCTCGTTGACACTGATTATTATTCATCTTATAAATTAAGCTTCTTTTAAGTTAATCAGTAGCAAAAACAACAAACGTTAAAATAGACAATAATCAAGAAATATAAACATATTACGTAATAGAGTTTAACATTTTAATATTGAATATATCAAAGTAAAATTTAAGTTGCTTTTAATCACCTAGGTGATGAAATCTTTAGAAAATCTTCAAATAAATAATCTAAAGTTCAACTATGATCTGGAAGCCACTTAGTATTATTTATCAAGATTATGAACTGATCTAAGTTAGACAATTATTGAAGTCCTGGAAACATGAGATGATTAAGTTTTTTCTAGTATGGAGATATTCAGAGATGTACGCCTTCTTTCTTATCCAAGAATCAAACCCAGTACCTTCGGTCTCGTGTGAAGAACTTTAATCTATAAACCACTGATCTGGGATCAATTGATTCGTGATCTCGATTAAAAAAAAAACAATTATCCACAACACAATATTGATAATATATTTATATTTATAAATGATTTTCATTGACTAACTGATGAATTCAAAATAATAAAGTTTTATAACTTAGAAGATTTATAATATGTGCAAAGCTTGAACTGATTTGTTATAACATATACAAATTTCATTTATATCAATGATTACTATGCCATAAATTTATGAATTATTTTATTGACTCTGAGTTAGTATTTTGCTTCAAATCCATGTTGGGAATAATTAGATTGCAAGAGAGATAAAGACAAATGTTTGTTTAATTAACCAAAATAAATAGTTCTTCATCGGTTATGGATTTTCTGTGGTTATCCAACTGATATCAAGTTATCAGAAGTAACCTGATTTTGAAACAATTTATAACATAGTAAACCACGGTAAAATAATAATACCATCAACAAATTAGTGGACATCCTGACTCAGTAGTTCAGTGTACAATTAACGCATTATATGTTCGATGTGAAAGGCATTGAATTAGAGTTTCAGTGTAAACGTCATTACAGGTATGCTGCTACATTCAACTGATTAGTCCCAAATAAAACAAAACAAACATGATGAATCCTACTCCCGGCCACATAAAAATAAATTATGCCAAACAGAGACTGGTTCCTATAATAATTTCAACATTAACTCCTAACTTGTGTACCGATGAACAGTAGTAACGGTAATTATATCAAATATACCATGAGTTTCATAGGTACATATTCTTGTACGTTGTGTTTGTCAAATATTTTTCTCAGTCGAAGTAACAACGGAAAAACAAATAGTACTGCATGGATGCTGCATCCTAACATAGAACTCTACAGCAGTACCCCACCCTGGTCGCACTAGTAATAGGACCAGAACACCTCCAGGTATCGTGGAGATCACCTAATCATTAAAACTACTGTGTATCTTATATTCATAAAAACGCTTAAATCCACTATAAATAATGTTTCAGTCATCAGTAGTATCGAATATTTAGGTATAGTTAAATAAGAAATTGCTTAATTAGACATTTATCAATAAATCTAAGGATACCTGAAAGACTAGACTTCAGCTCCACAATCTACTGACAATAGAAGACGAAATAAAGGAACACCACTTCTCGTAATTTTCGAAAGTTTGGATTAATTCAGTGAGAATATCATCTCATACAAATATTCAGTAAGACTTGGTGCGCTTAAAAATCTGTTAAGATAGTTAGGAATACTAATAATTGAAAAAACTTTTATTAAAAAGACAAACTTTACTAACAGAAAACAGATCACTGTGTAGTATAAACGATGATAATTTTTATATCTATTTTAAATTGAATAATGTATAGTTTGATTTTTAAATTTCTTTCAAAATAATTTTTTTGTTAATTGAATTTTTTCTATCATCGTCTAAGTAAGACATATTTTGCCAACACTCTGATATTCCTTTAACAGTTGAATTTATGTCAATCTAAGCTAAACCTCCATTGGAAACCTGGAAGGGCTGTACGGCCGTTTCGCCCTAGTTTAGGACTCCCCATTAGCGCACATTCACGATCCCGCACGTGAGACTTAAACCTGGGACATTCAATGTCATGCGAAATCATATAACCTCTAGACCACTGAGTCGACATCCTAAATCTGATATAAATTTCTACTTAGATGATTAATTAATTGAAACGAGTAATTCAAAACTGTCCCATATCTCATATAAAAAAATATTTAGATGAAAAATACATGATCATTAGAATTAAATCTGTGGTAAAATTTGAGCAAAACTAATATGATGTTAACTAATACTTTGATATCAGTCATTAATAAAATCTTAAGCCTGGAGGTTTACTCTAAAGAATTGGCTTACATTAAGTAACGAAACGTCGGAAATAAAATTTTCCTAACTATTGAGATATAACAAAAATATATTTATTACTAAAGGAGGTTAGTTACAGCCAGAATCGCCAATTTATAGGGTCTATGATAGTGATTGTGTATGATAAGTGTTTGAAACCTTTAAGAAATATCGATTGTCTCAAGATCACAGATATTTCTTGATTAAAAAAGGTGTCAACTAGTATGAAATATACTTCAGAGATCTGTCGATAACATTTATTCACTAGACAATAGGTGGATACACTATTTAATAAACTATTTTTAGTTTCTCAGTAAAAATACATGTACACATGAACTTGTTTTTCATCTAGGTATCCTGCATACGACCTGAAGATACTCTACGGTTATCAAAACTGAAATAACATAGTTAGATTCCCACTTATGATTTGACGATTGCATGTTGAATGTCTCATATTCTAAGTCATTCTTCTATACAATATAAAATTTCTCAATATTTCCTGATTAATTTACATGTTAAATAATGACAATAATAATAATTTTTGTTTACCTTTTAATAATGATAAACTTTTTACAGAGAGAAGAATACTATCGGGCCTTACTATCTCATAGTAAAATGGGATTGTGAAATTTAATCAGAATGATGTCCCTCTCCACCCTTTAGTCGATATGAATAACACTCCGTAGTATTCACTTGCCAAATAGTTGATAGTAATTCTATAGTTGCTCAGAAATATATTCAGTGAGCATAGCATTCTCGATTGCTTTACATTTGTTGATTCAATTACTGAAGTCAATTGCTGTGAAACGATAATATTCTCTTTAGATGTCATATCCTTCTGAATATAATTTTATCTCTCGCAGAGATCATTTTTTGCCTTTTTAATTTCAGGATTTATCTTTCAAATATCAAAGCATCACTTTCATATAAAGTGGTTTCAACTACCTAATTATTAAAGTAGCATGGGACATGACATCAGTGCACATCTATGACCAACACATATGAATTTCAGTTATCATAGCAAATAATTAAGTTTTGGGACATTAAGATACTATCCAACCATTCTTATCATTTCTATATCAATCAGGATTTAAGTGTAACTATGTTAAATCCACTCATTTATACATGATCTGTAGTTGAGTTCTATAAAAGACATATTTCATTTCGAAAAAACGATTTAATTTAGAGTTTAAGGATACTATCCAATCGAAGAAACATTTGTTTACGTATACAAAACTTTTTAATTTTACGGTAGAAATATTGTGACTATATCTTCCAAGAAAATATATAAATACATCATTTGATTAGATCAGTCTACAAATACTACTAAATGGATACCGAATTCCCAACAAAAAACGTAGTTGGCAAAGTTCATATGGTTTTCATTTAAAGAAATGATTATAATGGAATATTCAAGAAAATATTGAGTTAAAAGATAGTTTAGTCATTATGTTGTTAGCATTTCAACTACACTAATCGCTATGTTTACAAGTAAACTTCGTTCATATTAAATGGTTGCAGGAAATTGACCGAAGTTATGGAACCTGACAAGTATGACGTTGTTTACTATTCAGTGATCTCTACTTCACGAGATCAGTTACTATCCGAATAGGTCGATGATAACGTTTCAGAATCTGAAATTGGGTAATCTATGTTCAAATACCGAAGAAGCATCAGTTCCCTAATGACTACAGATACATCATGTTGATAAGTGCCAGTTAACACAAAACTTAGGTCCAGAGATTCCTACCAGTAACCACCAACTATTTAACATGACAAACATGACGAAAAACTATCTTCTATTCTCTAATTCATGTGAATGTAATTCAAAAAAATTTTATATTTACCAAAATTATTTAATAAACTGTATGTGTAAATCTAAAACATAGTATTCATATTTACAATCAACAATACCCATTAAGATATTAATTAAACAATTAACTGAGGTTACTTACTTGATCCGATGGTCCAGTCCAACCAAAAGATGGAACTTTTAAGAAATCCATTTAATGCAGCAAAATATATTACTCAATTTGTGTGTGGAAAGTTAAATTGAGTCTATTTATATTTCAGAATACATGAAGTATCATACACAAAAACTATGCACACGTACATATTCGAGAATATTATAACTGTTGAATATTTTGTGTGTGTGTGTGTATTATATGTACATTCATACAGAAGAGTGTATATATTTAATATGATTTGACTACCTCCCCCCATCCTTCTATTTTTAAACAGGCTGTTAAAATTCATAATTTTGTAAGCAGCAACCACTATTCTTTAATTCTCACATTTCTTCTCTAATCTATCCTGTTCAAGTAAAATAATAATTATGAAGGGGTGGTAGAGAAACTCTATCATAAACCAATCAGTTGTTGATTTAATAATAATGAGAAAAACTTTTGACCAAATCAACCAATCAGAAATGAGAATTACGTAAATTGTGCGTAAAATATAATAAACATATAAGATATACATCCCTGTTTATCAAAATATGTAAATAAGTCTTATATTGTGTAAAGTTTATAAGATAATAGAAAGAATTCTGTTGATTGAAATCACACATTCATTTATTACTTTAATTTATCATATAGAGTGTTTGCAAATCAATAGTTAACGACTGTTGTTCATTGACAGGATAGATGCAATGAAACAGATTATATCTTAGTAATTGGTATTATAAAATAGAATTTATTAGATTATTCAAATGGAATTATGCCAAATTAAATTATATCTAGAACATTCAAACCCAATACATATAAAATTGGAAATGTTTTAATAGAGATTTCAGTATTTTCATAGTAGAAATCATGAGTCAATTGAAGCTAGACCACGATGGAAAACCTAGAAGCACTGGACGACCGTATTATCCTATTATGGGACTCCTCAGCAGTGCGCATCCACGATCCCGCTTCGCGAGATTCTAACCTAGGATCTACCAGTCTCACGCCAGAGCACTTAACCAATAGACATGTAAAATTAATATTAAGAAATATATTTTACATGCATTTTGAAAGTAATTCTCATTGTACCAAGATATTATATGTTGAAAAAATCATTGAAAATTAGACAATAATTAACAATTATTTCATTCTTAATGTTCTAGGTTGTCCAAGTAAACTAAGAATCGGTCCCGAAGAAGAACGTAAATGATATTCAACATCCCCTGAATGTTAGTAGATTTTTCAGATAATTTCAAGTTCTTGATGATAATCAACTTTTAAATGCATAAAATATCATTAAAAAGCCAACTTGGGCATCGAATCCAGTGGTTAGCATTAAAATGGACTGACTAAACATCCAGAAGGAGGTCATTACTTACATAAACAAACACACTGAAAGTATTAATTATCAGAAGGGGTTTTGTGGAGATTTAGTATGTTTCATAGTTGAAAGCATGAGTCAATTGAAGCTAGACCACCATGGGAAACCTAGAAGCACTGGACGACCGTTTTATTCTATTATGGGACTCCTCAGAAGTGCGCATCCACGAACCCGCTCTCGCGAGTTTCGAACCATGGTGGTCTAGCTTCAATTAACTCACGCTTTCAACTATAATAAAAATAAGATAGTTGTTCATGGTCTTCAGTGATTCTGCGATCAAGGTTGTTCCATAGTAATATATACAAATATATATAAATTCATTCGCTGAGATTTTACAAATATATTATTCCTATTTAATGTCTAACTTCACAGTAGTTATGAATAATCTAGTTTTCAAATTATTTTTTGATTAATAATATGAGGAAGTTCCTAATACCCATAACAATTGCGAAATTTCAACTAATTCATGTAAATAGTTTTAAGTTACACAACTATTTAAAACCTGGAAGTACTGGAAGCTTGTTTCATCCTAATATGTGACTCCCCACAAGTGCACGCCTACGAACTTGTGAAAGTAATCAAACTCAGAACTTTCGGTCTCGGGTTCGAAAGCTCAATCTCCAAACCACTCACCCGGAAAACAGTTGTACGATATTCTGGATTGATTGAAACTAGATTTTTAAATCACTGAATTTCAGCTCAGCAATTTATATGTTAAACATTCACGAGAGAAAAGCGGAAGGTTCTGGGTCGCGAGTACGCAATTCTGAGGAGTCTCACACTAGAATGAAACGACCTTACAGTGAATCCAGGTGTTCAACGTGCCTTTTTTTAACAAAGATATGTTCATTATTACAGTGAAATCCAACAATCTCAACAGACCTCATACTAATGAAAATAGTTGTTGAAATTCACACGTTCATTTATGTACTTAGGTTTTCATTTATGATGGGCATCTTTTATTGATAAATGTTTCTTATTATTTATTCCTAGAAAATTTCATAATACCGACTGGTAAATAATTCAGGTAACATTATTTTGTAATAAATAAGTAAATACTTCATTTAAAATTCACTTAGTATTGTTTGTTTGAATCTTCCCATTAATGTTTATGACTGCAACTGGTCAGTTTCTAATTGGCATATGTGCATACTGTACGTATTGCCTCGATATAGTCTTAATTCACAAGCATTATAAGTCCCAGAGAGAACATCAACTCTGAGATACAGGTACATCCAGCTGACGAGTCCCGAATAGGACGAAAATCGCGTCCTGGATTCCACTGCTAGCCACCATCAATCTTTGCTTATAATATTTCATTTACAAGTTTAGAAAGTTATCCTTTGAAATTGCATATATATATATATATGCTGGTGAGCGGCCTATGCTCCTCGACGATGGGTAACAGGCGTAAGTATATATATATATATATATATTTCGCAACCCTTTACAGTTGTTTCCAAATGCTATTCATCTTTTTGATGCCTGGATCTAATATCCGGCAGAATATGTTCCTCTTTTCTTTTTCCCTTCAGGATTTAAATTAGAGCTTGGCTCATGATGCAGTTTGGTGATTTCTGTAATGTATGTTCTATCCACTTCCTACGTCTTTTTCTAATTTTGTCTTCAGATGGAAGCTGGTTTGTTCACTCCCATAGTAGGCTGTTGCTGATGGTACCCAATCAACGGACATTGAGTATCCTGCGTAGACAATTGTTTATAAATACTTCCACCTTCACGATGATGGTTGTAGTAGTTCTCCAAGTTTCAGGTCCGTAGACAATAGAACTGCATTGATATTCATATTGAAGATTCTGACTTTGATATTGGTTAACAGTTGCTTTCGGTTCCATATGTTCATCAATGTAGGGATGCTGACCTTTTTTCCAATCCTTGCATTTACATTTGCATCGGGTCCTCCTTATTCACCGATGATGCTTCCCAGATAAGTTAAAGTTTCCATATCATCCAGAGTTTCTTCATCATGTGTGATTGGGTTCGATTTTTCTGTGATGTATTTCAGGATCTTGTTTTTTCCCATGTGTATGTTGAGGCCTACTGATGTAGAGGTTTATATATATATATATATATATATATATATATATATATATATATATATATATATATATATATATATATATATATATATATATATATATATATATATAATGGAATTGGTTAAATTTTGAAAATAGGACAATAAATCATAATCATTATTTTCGTTGTTTAGTTGCAACATCATTAGAAGCAAGGATGCATTAAAGATCTGTTTCATCCAATCATGGGATTCCACAGTATTGAATATCCACTAACCCTTCACAGAGGTACTTTCCAGACTCAGTGATGGTTTAGATAAGATCAGTTAGCGATTTAAACTATGAAAATTCTACAATCTCTGCAATTCCTGCCCACATACCTACTACCGTTAGAATTATTATTGAGCTCGTTAAATAAACAAGCCTCAAATTGCAGCAGTAGTCAGGAAAGAAGAGGGTATGTTCTGTAAAAACACCAATCCCTAGTATAGTCATGAATGCGCAATATTCACAAGTTTCCCGCTAGGACAAGAAACGTATCCAATACTGTCTACTTTCATTGGTTGCCTAACTAAAGTCAGTTTGTGGTGTAAAACTACCGCGAAAATAATCTGTCTTCCTTCTTGGTCTGATTTACTAATTTGATTTCCGTTTTGATACCTTTTTTCAGCTATGATATTAACATAAATAGCATAGAATTTCGTTGGGTAGTTTTTTGACCAATCAATCAACGGAGGAAAGCTCAACAACAACCGACTATTTGGTTTAGTTTAAATCTGTTTGTTACACTTTACATCCAATGATTCTAGGTAGCATAGAACATAGGAATTCCGAATATCAGAGATTACTTAGCTCAGTCATTTAATTTTAATGATATGGAATGACAATAGTTCAGAAATATTAGTGATCAACTGTGTTCGTATCTAACATTGTTGAAATCCGTTAGTTAGTCTGTTCCCTAGACTTTTAAACAACTGAAATGTGGAACTTTCATCATGTATGACCACGTTTATTGCTCTGATATACACTTACTTATCGAGTCCTAATTAAATTCATAAGTACTTTCCAAGCAGGATCTGAGCCTTGTTGCTAGATGCAGACTACCTACCTGCTTGGACTTAATAGTTGGAGATGATCAGTTAAATAGCTCAGTTATATTAATGTATATGTATTTGCTCTTTACCACACTTCAGATCTTGAATTGCAGTCTTTCTTCATACATAACGTTTTATGAATTCTTTTTGAATCATATTCTCAACGCTTAGTCTTTCTCATCATCTCTGTTCATACTTTATATCGATTCCTTCGCTAGTTATCTTGTTAATGTCTAAATATTAAGCTAATAGGACGTGGCAACTCAGATGCTAGGATCTAAATTGATTGTAACTAACCGACTTACTTCCTGATGAGAATGATGATGATGATGTGTATTTAATACACTCTATTATTTACCAGCTTACTAAATAATATCAAATATGGGAAAGAATACTTGAATTTCTTAATGTTTCTTACATGACAACAAAAACTTGTTGCTATTCCAAAAAAACTAATCTGATCTCTTCTAAATAACAAAATTAATTTTAAACTTAAATAACAATTAAAATTTATATTTTTTAATTTCCAAAAAAGTCACCCCTTCTAAT